AGGGGTGCTTCAGAGAAGGCAGGGGGGGGGCTCCTTGGCCTAAAGGGGTTCCCTCTGAGAAGGCGGGGGGGGGCTTCTAAGAAATCCTCCCTGGAAACCCTCCTTCTGAGAAGGCAGGGGGGGGGGGCTTCTCAGACACCTTCTTGGAAGCCTCGGGGCCCTTCTTGGAATTAGGTCGGGCGTGTCTTCCTACAGGTGGATTTTGGGCGAACGAATTCAAAATCATGCTAATACACAGCCAGCAATACCATAGAAATCGCCCCCTGACTCTATCTTTGAAAAATATCTTTGAATACTCCTCCTGTAGAGCGACAGGCCCGATCTAATCTTAGAGGGCCCCTGACTTCCAAAAACGACCCCCTCGCGCCACCCTCGTGCGCGCGCCGCCGGCGATGATTGGCGCGCCGGCATCTCGAGGTCGATGCTGCCTAGCCTGCCTCGACAATGTCTGGACCCGCGCCTCTGGGGGTCCTGGAGCGGCGTCGCGACATGCGGCGGCGAGCGAGGGTTGAAGTGAGAAGGAGAAGGCCCTCTCAGAGGGTCCGGAAGCCCCTCTACCTTCTGAGAAGCTGCCTGAGCCTTCCCCGAAGACAGAAGAGAGCCCTCAGAGGGCGCAGGGGCTTCTGAGAAGCCCCGCCGCCTTCCGAGAGGGCCTCCTCCTTCTCACGTCCTCCCTCGCCCGCCGCCGAGACACACAATGCAAGCGTCCATTTAAGGACGGGCCGCAGGGACGCCGACCCATCCTCAGGATTTGGACGCCCGAAATGGGCACCGAAAGAATGGGTACAATGCCCAACAACAAATGTTGACCCAAACCAACAGCGGCCGCTGTCTGGCAGGCGGCCTTCTGTCTCGCATGGACACAGGCCGCGGCGGCGCGGACAGCGAGCCCTGTTCAAAATGAGCAGGAACTGCTGTTGGGCATTGTACCCCTTCTTTCGGTACCCATGTCGGGCGTCCAGACAAGATACGTTCCGCCCGTCCCGCCCTTGATGCACGTTCCGCCCGTCCCGACCCGCCCTTGGTGTACGTTCCGCCCGCCCCGCCCTTGCGACGCCGACGCCGACCCGCCGTCGCAGGGACGCCGACCCGTCCGAAGGCCCTCTCAGAGGGTTCGGAAGTCCCTCTACCTTCTGAGAAGCTGTCTAAGCCTTCTGATATACGTTCCGCCCGTCCCGCCCTTGATATACGTTCCGCCCGTCCCGACCCGCCCTTGATGCACGTTCCGCCCGTCCCGCCCCTGCGACGCCGACGCCGAGCCGCCGTCGCGGGGACGCCGACGCCGAGCCGCCGTCTCACGTCCTCCCTCGCCCGCCGCCGAGACACACAATGAAAGCGTCCATTTAAGGACGCGCCGCAGGGACGCCGACCCGTCCTCAATGTATACGCTCCGCCCGTCCCGCCCTTGATGTACGTTCCGCCCGTCCCGACCCGCCCTTGGTGCACGTTCCGCCCGCCCCGCCCCTGCGACGCCGACGCCGAGCCGCCGTCGCCGACGCCGACGCCGACGCGACGCCGACCCGTCCGACGCCGACGCGACGCCGACGCGACGCGACGCCGTCGCGACGCCGACGCCGACGCGACGCCGACCCGTCCGACAACACGTATGTCCAGAAGAGCCTCGGAGGCCGCAGCCCGGACTGGCTTTCGGGGGCGGCGGGGCGGCCGCGGCGCCCCCACGGAGAGAGGGGCGGAGGGCGGGGCGAGGGAGGACACCCCCCTCCTCCCTGCCCACTCCTCCTCCTCCTCCTCGTCCTCCTCCTCCTCCTCCTCCTCCTCCTCCTCCTCCTCCTCCTCCTCCTCCCCTCCCCCTCCCCCTCCTCCTCCTCCTCTTCCTCCTCCTCCTCCTCCCCCTCCTCCTCCTCCTCCTCCTCCCCCTCCTCCTGCGTTCGCGCGCGCGCGTTCTCACGGTGCGCGTCGGCTGTGCCGCGCGGCGACTTCGAGGCCCAAGGCACCTCGCTGCGCGCGAGCAAGAAATTGAGCCTCATGCAGGAGGCTGCTCACGAACGGCTTTCGAGGTACATGTTCGTGAGTTAAAAGGCTGCTGAGCTGGTTCAAGCTCGAATGGCTACAATAGAGCGGAACTCAGTCGTGTCAGGCTGGATCCAGCCTGAAGAGGCCAGCAAAGAGACAGACGGAAATACTAGCTAATGGTGCCAATGCTGAATTTACTCCCAGAATTAAGAGCCGCACCTTGGAACTCGAACCTTGGTCAATGTGCATGCTGATATGGGGACGTAGATGTTGGGGACGGTGCCGAATAGCAAATGCTGCAAAAAAGCAACAGCGGCCGCTGCTGGGCAGACAACGTCTGCCGCAGTTGACAACATCCACGGCGTCAGCCAGCGGACGCTGCCTAAAAGAAAGAATGCAAGCGCTGTTCTTCTCCATTGCCCGTTTCTAGATTGCCCCCCCCGCCCCCCCCCCCCCCCCGAAACGGCAAGACTCCGCTGTGCTGGCTCCAGGCGAACGCCAGGGGCCCTGATCTGCCAACTTGGGGGATGCAACTCTGAGGGTCACCGTGTCACAGTGATCTCGGCAACCTCAATACAATCGGACTGCTGAAATCATGAACGATGAATGTAGTTTAACCGAAGCGTGAAACCTGGAAGAACGGCCAAGCCCCTTTCCAGCGGTGCTCCGCCATGTCCCGATGAGAATCCCACCCCCTGAGCCAACGACCAAGGAAGGACCCACCACCAACCCCCACCGTGCCAAAAGAACAACGAACGCAGCAACATCGACCGCGAGCAGCACAACAGGAACCCCTGATGTGCCCAGACAAGACGCCGCCGTCCCTCAACACGCGCGCCTGGCTAATTAAAGCCTCCTACTCGACGGCCAAACTCGGGGAGCAGCGAAGGCGTTCGCGCTGCAGCGGGCCCTGCGCAAGCCGACGATGTCAACCCCCCTCCCGACCTCGAGGTCACAAGAAACGCCAGGGGCTCGCTCGAGAAAGTGGGCCTCAACGTGGCCACGTTCCGCCCTGGCTACGCATGTGTGCCTACATTCGCACCGCGCCAGGAACCGCGGGGCTCGCGCGGGGGACTGGGCCTTCGCGTGGCCCATGTTCGATGTGGTCACACATGTGAAACACAACTCGCGTCGCGCAAGGAAACGGGGAGCTCGCGCCCAACGACTGTCTGGGACCTGGCCGAGCAGCAGATGTAACGCATATCCCTACACATGCTTCCCCCCAAGGGTTCGCGAGCCACCCCCTCCCCAGACTCCCCTGGAGGCCCTAAGGGAGTCCCCAAGAACCCCCCATGATGCTCCTTGGAACCCCAACGCCTCGCCTGGGGCCTGGGCGACACCACGATCTGGTGGCACCAAAGTGATCCCAAGATAATCATGGATTGAATCAGTGCATTGCCCACGCTGGGGAAGCCGAGCGACTCATCCAAATTCCGCCCAATCACCACTGGAAGTTTACGTTCGTGCCCAGGCCATCATGGCAACTTTGCGAACAAAACAGAACTCTCCACGCTCGCGAGTGGAAAGTTCTGCATTGTTCACGCTCGGGAAGATCTGGCGGGTCACCCGATATCCTGTCGGTCACCGTGACGTGTTTGATGTCCAGGCCCTCGCATGCGGAACATGGCGTAAACTCCGACAGGCGCTCCGCGAGGGAACGGGTGGGGCCCGAGGCAGCAGCTGGATCTACGCCAGTGAACTCCGCTCTGCCTGACAGGAGGAACGGGCGTTCGATGTCATGCCGTATGGCAACTGTTTTGGCAGCGGAGCACGAAGCCATTCCCTCCATGGGAACGCAGCTCCTTCGACAGGCCGACCTAGTCGAACAAAAGAACGCATCCGCGCGTGTTGAAACCTCAGCAACACAAAAAAGGCTCGCCATCAAAAGAACGACGGAACGCATGCAAATCGAAACAACCATCCATCGAGTCCCTTCCGACCTCGAACTGGACCTTCTTGCAACGAGCTGACTGCAATGGTCCTCGCACAGATCGGAAAACAACCCTGTGGGCAGGGAGGAAAGGGGGGTCACCAGCAAGGCGGCTCTTAGCCAAATCCAGTGGGCTTCGGAGGACTGGTGACGACGACGTATTCTACGTCGTAATGCTGAATACTTTCTGGGTTTCACGAATCTGTCTCGTCGCTGAGTCGACACGGCTGGGCGCGGCGCGACTCTACCAGCCGGGACGGACCCCTCGAGGGGCCAGCGGTCTTGTCCTGAGCGAGGGAAACCAATGGGGTCTTGTTATGAGCTCGTGCAGTCCTTCCTCGAACCTCCCGCATGGGATGGGGAGAGATCAGCGGGAACAGAGGACGCGACGACCTTGGGGGCAGAACGTCAGCTTCATCCACGACTATGCTGGGTCGTGAGCTTCCTCCTTCGCCCGAGTCCTCTCAGCCAGCGCACGGAGGCGATCGTTGTCGATCAGCCATGCACTGCCAGCCGAGGACGGCGGAGGGGCAGCAAGGAGCACTGCCTTGGGCGAGGCAGGAGGAGGCTCAGCAGCGTGCAGGGCAGGGCGCAGCAGAAGCAACAGCAGTGACGAGGCTTCACAGAGGAGGGAAAGGAGGAGGAGGAGGAGGAGGAGGAGGAGAAGGAGGTTGAGGAGGAGGAGGAGGAGGAGGAGGAGGAGGAGGAACGACAGCCAGAGCGAACAGACGGAGCGAAGGCCGAGACGGTCGGGAGGAGGAGGAGGAGGAGGAGGTTGAGGAGGAGGAGGAGGAGGAGGAGGAGGAGGAGGAGGAACAACAGCCAGAGCGAGCAGACGGAGCGAAGGCTCAGACGGTCGGGAGGCGGAGGAGGGCGGCGGAGGGGGAGGGGGAACGAAGAGGAGGCGACGCGGGCCTCAGAGAGAGGCGCCCGTGCGACCGGGCGCGCCTCGGGCCTCGGAGCGGGAGGGAGCGGCGCACGCCGAACGCGGCGGGGGAGAGGCAGCGGAGGGGAGGAGGGCGGAGGAAGGACGCGGAGCGAAGGCGAGCAGGAGGCGTGGGCAGACGCGGGGCTGCCGGCGCCGCGGGGGCCAGTCCTCCAGCACGAGGGCGTTGTGGCCCGCCTGCGCTCTTGCGGCGGGGGCGGCAGCGTTGGGGGTGGGCCGGCGGAGGCTGCCCTGCGGGAGAGAGCCCCCCCCTCCGCGGACATCCTCGCGTCGAGCGGACATCGCGATCGAAGGTCTTGGGTCTTCGGCAGGGTGCGGCGCGGGGGGTGGAGGGGGGGCTGAGTTCTTCCTCCTCCTGCTCCTCCCCCTCTCCTCCTCCTCCTCCTCCTCCTCCTCCTCCTCCTCCTCCTCCTCCTCCTCCTCCTCCTCCTCCTCAACCTCCTTCTCCTCCTCCTCCTCCTCCTCCTCCTCCTCCTCCTCCTCCCTCCTCCTCTCCTCCCTCCTCCTCCTCCTCCTCCTCCTCCTCCTCCTCCTCCTCCTCCTCCTCCTCCGCCCCTCGTCCTCCTTCCCCCGCCCCTCATCCTCCTCCAGCTCCCTCTTTTTCACCTCCTCCTCCTCCTCCTCCTACTCCTTCTCCTCGTCGTCCTCCCCCCTCCTCTCCTTTCTCCTCCTCCTCCTGCTATTCCTACTCCTGTCTCCTCCACTTCTCCTCCTTGTACATGCTTCCTCCCTGCTACTGGCCCCCCAAGGCCGTCAAAAAGACACGGGGGGCATGGCGACCCAGATCCTCGACGGTGTAGGGCTTTCGAAGGAACGAAAAATGTAAGGCGGCACATCCTCCAGGAGGGTGAGGCCGAATAGACCCCAAAGGGTGTATCCTTAGGTCGGGCGGCATGTCCCCCTACCGGGGGATTCTCGACGAAAAATTCGCCGGCCCAACGGGCCAGAGGCGTGCTAAGATCTCCGGTAACTGGTTAAGAATTCTCTAGTTCGCGCGCGCGGGGCGGCCCCTGGGGGTCCCCGGACGAAAAGTACCCCGGCAAGGTCCTGAGAGAGTCCCGGGAGGAGTCCCCCAGAGCGCTCCAGGAGCGCTCCATGAGCGCACCAACAGGGCTCCGAGACGTCCCCGAGAGCCCCAAGAAAGGCCAAGAGGCCCCCAAGAGGCCCCCAAGATGGTACACGAGGGGTCCGACATGCCACAAGATCGCTCCAAGACGCCCAAGATAGCCCCCAGACGCCCCAAGAGGCCTCCAAGAGCACTCCCAAGAGGGCCCCCGGAGGCAAAATTCATTGTTTTTCCTTAGGTTTTTGAGAGATTTTGGAGCTTCCACCTTTTCGGTTCCCGACGCCCCAAGACGGCCCCAGAGGCCCCCAAGATCGCCCCAAGAGGGCCCAAGAGGCCCCCAAGAGGGCCCCAAGATGGCCCAAGAGGGCTCGAAGACGGCCCAAGAAGCCTCCAAGACGGTCCAAGAGGGCCCCAAGAACACCCCCAAAGGGGCCCCAGAGAGGGAACACGAAACAAAATTTCGCGCCCTCGGCCCTAAGAAGCCCCTACGAGGCCCCAAGAGGCCCCTAAGAGGCCCCAAGAGGCCCCCACGAGGCCCTCAGGAGGCCCCCAAGAGTCCCCCAAGCGGCCCCAGGAGGCCCCCCAAATGCCCCCCCGAGCGCCCCAGGAGTCCCCCAAGCGGCCCCAGGAACCCCCAAAGCGCCGCATTGACACCAAACCCTCGGGCAAACGGCAGACATGAGACCGTATGGGCCGGCGGAATGAGCGAAGCGATTCAATAAACAAGTACCCCGAACTATTCAAACATGGCAATATATAGTGTGTATATATATATACATATGTGTATATATGCATATATATGTATATATTCTAATGTGGATCCGTGGATTAAATCCACGGAGTTGTGAGGATCGAGTGTCGATGGCGCGCGCCGCGTTCGGCGTTCGCACCTGGCGCCGACTCTCCTTAGAAGGGGTGGCTCCGGCGGGGGAGGGTGGGGGCGGCTCAGGGCCGTCTTGGGCGGTGGAGGGCGCCTCTAGGGCCGTCTTGGGGGCCGTCTGGAGCCATCTTGGGCGCCATTTGGATCGTATTGGGGCCATCTTGGGCTCTCCTGGGCGTGTCTTGGGGTCTCCTCGGGCCGTTCTGGGCGCCTCTTTGGCCGTCCTGGGACCGTCCAGGCCATTTTTGGGCCGTCCTGGGGGCTGTCTTGGGCGATCGCTGGGACCTGTGGAAGATTCGATCAAGAAAATGTCGAATCCGGTAGACATGTACAGCTTACAAAGGGAATGTGACTTTTGTGCCTCCGTGGGGTCCCCACAAGGGATCCCGTGGACCCCCTCAGGGCTGTCCGGGGGCGTTTTGGAGCGCAGGGGGCCGTCTGGAGAACGTCTTGGGCGGCCTGAAAGCCGTCTTGGGTCGTCTAGGGGCCTCCGTGGGCCGTCTCGGGGCTGTTCTGGGGAGCTCCGACGCCGCGTCGGGCCTCTCCGAGGACCCTCAGGGGAGCTCTGGCGTCGTTTAGGACCTCTCCGGGTGCCTTGCGGAGCCGTTTCAGGGCCCCTGGGAGGCCCCGGGAGGCTTGGGGAGCCGGGGGCCCACGCAAACCCAAAAAGCACCTTTCGGATTCATTTGAATGGGTATATATAATATTATATATATATATATATATATATATGTATATATATGTATATATATATATATACACATATGTATATATATATACAATCGAAAAATCGTCCCCAGACAATTTTCTCTACTATTTTTGAATATTCCTCCTGAAGAGGAACAGCCCCGCCTTATGTGTATCCCCGAAGTCCTCCCTATTGTGAGCTGCCTGATTTTCCTGACGGAACTCGAGACTAGGGTCAATAAAGCGCCCGCAAAAATCCGCGCGTCGTGAACAAGAGTAGCGATCGGAAATGCTCGGCAATGATCGGGCTCCGGGGACCCTCACCGGGCCTCGGGACCGTCCAAAGACAGAGCAGAATGAGAGGCCTGTCCCCGGGAAAAGATCCAGACTTCTGGGGGAACTTACGTCGCAAAACATCCCGACGTCAGATGACATCCGATCCACAAACCGCCTCTCGTCGAAAGGCTGGAAATGTTGGAATACTCCTGCCTCCCAAAGGCCCTTAACGGGCCCTGGGCTGTCAGATAATCATCTTGCTTCGGCAGGCCCCCACACAGGAGCTTCATCAGATCAAGATGTAAACGTCTGGTGTGTGTTGCCGATGTGTGTTGCTGATGAACGGTGTGGGCGTATATGTGCTGATGCTGTATGCTATTGTCGTCAGTTCTCGACGTGTAGTGTGGGTGTTTGTCTTTCGTGCATGTGCGTGTGCTATTGGTGTGAGTCAGTGATGATTGTTGGCTGTGTCTGCTGCTGGTGTTTGCCATTGATTATTGTTGGTGTCTGTTAGGTGTGCATGCTCCTGAGCTACGTTCGTAGCGTTATCTCCAGGTGGACATGGTGGATGCATGGTGTTGGTGCTGATGAGTTGTGCCCTTCCTACGAATCTGCTATTCACATATGTTGTTGAAGTAATGGTTCGTGATGAGTGCTCTTGGCGTATGCTCGTGCTGCCTTTTATCCATGCATGTTTGGTGTGATACCTTGGTGAATGTTCTTGATGCCGGTAGCGTACGTGTGTTGTGTGCCTGCTACGGGTGTCAGTGATTGGGGCATGTTCGTGAGGTGCATACTTTGTGTAATGGATTCGTTGTGTGCCATCTTGATATATATATATACACACTAGAACCATCGCGCGCGCTTCGCGCGCGCTTAGGTTCTGGCTGGTCGAGTGCTGAACGCATTGAGACAACAAGGCGGTCAAAAGCAATGAAATCATTATTCTCTGTTTCCTCCTGCCTCTTCCTCATTTCTCCTCCTCCGCTCTCATCGACCGGTCGACCGGTGATCTGTCGCCAAACCATGGGCCAGGAAAAGTGCAGCGCTACAGCTCCATAGTGCACTGTGCTACGGTGGAATGCCATGATACACCATGCTACGCTGCAAAGCGCAATGCCACGATGCAGTATGCAATGCAATAACATAATGTACTCTATAGTGCGCAGTGCGTGCCATGCCATGATGTGATTATAAAATGATGGGATAACATCCGCCGAGCCTGTCGGCATATGGACCCCCTGTCGGCGCGCGCTCAGTCGACGCATCAAGTGTCCTCTTTCCCTGCGTCTCCGTCTTCCCCTTTCCCTGCACCCTCCTCTGCAAGCCTGCCAGCGAGAGAAAACCGTAGCAACGTCCACTTAAGTCGAAAGGAAGTTCCTTTCCTTTGATCCCTCCCCCGCCGAGAAGGAAGGGGGTCCCGCCGAAACCCTGTAAAAACACATGGAAAATGAGCCCCGGTACTCCCATGGAGGGTCGAGGCAGCTGTTTTCGGGCCCCGGGCCTGCCCCCCCGGGATATATATATATATATATATATATATATGTGTGTGTGTAAATGTATGTTCGTGGGTCTGACCTGATGCTGCTCGGGCATGCTGTGCGCTCTTCGGGTCTTCGTGCTGGTTCATTACCCTGTTATTTGCGCAGGTTCTTGGCGCCTGTTCTATGGGTATGTGTTGGACGCATGTCGTTGGCATAGGGTTATGAACAATCGAGGGGTTAATCTCATCATCATGCTCTCTTTGCGTGTTGCCCATGTCTTGTATGAATTGGCGAGTGTATAACAAGTATACATGTGTACATATGTGTGTGTGTGTCCGATCTGCTTGTTCATTCTGCGGTCATGTGGCCCCCGGAGGTCTCGCAGGCCTGGCGGCCGCGGTATGCAGGTCGAGCGAGGCGGGACAACCAGGAATCACCCGGTGAGCGGGGCCTGGAGGCCGCAGTCTATGCAACGGCGGGCGGGGCGGGACACCCAGGAATCACCCGGCCTCGTGGGGCCTGGTGGCCGCGGTATGTGCAGGGCGCGCGGGACAGGACACTCAGGAATCACCCAGACTATTTGGGGACCTGGCGGCTTGGCGGCCGCGGTATGCAGGGCGAGCGAGGCGGGACACCCAGGGACCACCTGGACGATCGGGGCCTGGCGGAGGCGGTATTCAGTTTCACGCTAGCAGCCGCAACCCGTCGGGAAAGGACAACAGTAACGTGAAAAGGTAGGCCGCAGGCAGCGATTCCGACCTCTGGGGAGCCACGTTGCGCACAAAAAGAGAGCGCTGGAGGTCTGGACCCCTCCACCCATTCCCACCTTGCCCCCCCCTCCCCCACATCCGACATCCCTGGCTCCTCCATCCCCTCTCTCCTCTTGCTCAGCACCAGCGACGTCAGTGTCTTCCTCAACGCCATCGTTGTCAACATCATACTCACCAATCATGCCACCATCATGATCAACACCGCTCTTGTCCCACTCCTGCACCTCCCCCTCTCTTTCACCCTTCTTCTCCCCCTCCTCATCTTCATGTCCCACGCTTCCCATTTACCTCCGCATCCGCCGCCGCCGCCGCCCGCTTCTCATGTACTTCTTTGTTCGACTCCTCATGCCTCACCCAGCCTGTCTCATCCATCCTTCCTCACCTCTCCTGATGGGCCTGTTTTCCACCACCACCACCGTAAGTTGCAGGGGAGGGGGTTCTCCTCCTCCTCCTCCTCCTCCTCCTCCTCCTCCTCCTCCTCCTCCTCCTCCTCCCCATCCTCATCCTCCACCTCCTTCTCCCCTCCAACTTATGGTGGTGGTGGTGGAAAACAAGCCCATCATCTCCTCCGTGACCCCCCGCGCATCCACCCCGCAGCCGCAGTCCGCCTCCTTCCTGCTGTGTGCGCCATCCCCCCTTCGCTCCTCCATCCACCCTCTACCCGCATCCCGAATATCATATCCCACATGCTATAAGCATTAGCCTTGTCAAAACCCTACCCTCCCTCCTCTGCGTCTTCTACCACGTTCACGGATTCGCCCGTCGCTGTTGTCCCTCTGGAGGCAACAAGCGCAGGCGCGACTCCACTCCCTCCACCATCATGCCTCGGCCTCACCCAGCAATTACCCTCCATCCGTTCCCCCTACCCCACCGTCCCCATCTATGCCCCGTGGCTCCTCTCCTACACCAACACATTCCCGGCATACTCATCAACCTCATGACTCTCACTCTGCAACACCATCGTACTCTGATTCCTCCTCCGCCTCTTCCTCCAGCGTCAGCATCATCATATTGAACACCGCAACAATCATCAACATTACCACAGTAGTCATCGCTCTCAATCTCCATGCCGTGTCCTGCTCCTCTTGCTGTGCCTTCTCCCGCCCCGCCGCCGCCTCCTCTTCCTTCGCCCGTCTCATCCTGTTCATTCGTGTCGCCATACATGTCCTGTACATCCTTTTCTGACGTAAGTCTGAACTCTCTCTCTCTCTCTTTCTCTTTCTCTCCTCCCTGTGTCCTCTCCCGGGAAAACAACAAGCACCGATACCGCTACTCCCCCGACCTCCCCTGGGGTGCGTTCTGACAATAATTTCGATACGAATCCAGCAGTGGCGACGAGAACCTCCCTGGAGGCCGAAAAAGGGGAAGACGGGAGAAGGATAGCGGTATCGGTACCTTCTTCCAGCTCTGACTCTCATCCCTCACGAAAAAGGGGAAGACGGGCGAAGGGTAGCAGTCTCGGTACATCTTTCCTCCTCCGACTCTCCTCCCTCCTCCCTCCTGCCCCGTCCGTCCTCACTCGTCCTGCCCCGTCCCTTGCCCTCCTTGGTCGCCCCTGCCTCCCGCCCGCCCAAGGGAAGGAGAGCGAGAGAGGGAGGGCACGGGAGAGAGCGGGGGGACAGAGAGGGGGAGCAGAGGAGGAGGAGGAGGAGGAGGAGGAGGAGGAGGAGGCAGGTGGGGCGCGGGAGGTGGGAGAAGAGAGAACGAAGGATGGAACGTACGAAGTGTGGCGAGGAGGGACGCTGGAGTGTTACTTACAAAATCTGTTTTGCACGTTGGGCCCTTGACCAAGTGAATACGCTAAGAAACAAACGCCGCGTTGTATGTTTCTAGCGTTGCTTACTTCGTTGTATTTTGCGTTGTGCTCAAGCCCGCTGCGGATCTTAATGTACAGCTGGCGTGTATTGCTTTCTTGTGAAAAAACTGCTCCGTTTCTTCACTGCCCTCTTCGCTCCCGCTGTACTGATCCTGCCGCCTCCCGTCCCTCCCGCTCCGCACGCAGAACGCAATGCTAAAACTGCCAGAAAACCGCAAACACGGGTCTAACACCGACCCGGAAAAGGCCCAGGGGCCCCGCGACCAGCCAGCAACGACGACCAGAGAAGAGCAAATGAGCAAGTCGTGTGCTTACTAAGTGAGCTCCTGTTCTGCCAAGTTCGCTTCCGATGTGCTAAATCCTGTTGCCAGCCCCGCCTCCTGCTACTGGTGTTGCACTGTAGTTCATGCCAAGTTGTATGGGGAGCTCTGGAAATCAACTCCACCTCCTCCTCCTCCTCCTCCTTCTCCTCGTGCTCCTCTCCCCCCCTTGATCCCGCACAGAGGAGAGGAGGGGGGGAAAGAAATTGGAGGAGGTCGGGGGAACCGGAAGGAGGGAAGGAGGGAACGGGGAGATCGCGCGCACAACCAGCGCGCCTGAGCTGACTCGTCCTGGCTCGCGTCGCGGAGCTCCTGCGGGCAAGAGGGAGGGAGGGACGGAAAGAGAGAGAGAGAGAGGGAGAGAGAATAATGTTCCAACCAGCGGCTGCGTAGAGATGCTGGGGACCACACTTGTATACACTGAGGTATGTGGACCTTCGCCCGAAACATAGTGTACGTATGTTGCAGAACGTCTCACGCTCGCGAGCCTGGCCAAAATTCGCCGGCCCAACGGGCCAGAGGCGTGCTAAGATCTCCGGTAACTGGTTAACAATTCTCTAGTTCGCGCGCGCGGGGCGGCCCCTGGGGGTCCCCGGACGAAAAGTACCCCGATCCCCGACCGACCCCCGGAGACTCCCCCAGAGCGCTCCAGGAGCGCTCCATGAGCGCACCAACAGGGCTCCGAGACGTCCCCGAGAGCCCCAAGAAAGGCCAAGAGGCCCCCAAGAGGCCCCCAAGATGGTACACGAGGGGTCCGACATGCCACAAGATCGCTCCAAGACGCCCAAGATAGCCCCCAGACGCCCCAAGAGGCCTCCAAGAGCACTCCCAAGAGGGCCCCCGGAGGCAAAATTCATTGTTTTTCCTTAGGTTTTTGAGAGATTTTGGAGCTTCCACCTTTTCGGCTTCCCGACGCCCCAAGACGGCCCAAGAGGCCCCCAAGATCGCCCCAAGAGGGCCCAAGAGGCCCCCAAGAGGGCCCCAAGATGGCCCAAGAGGGCTCGAAGACGGCCCAAGAAGCCTCCAAGACGGTCCAAGAGGGCCCCAAGAACGCCCCCAAAGGGGCCCCAGAGAGGGAACACGAAACAACATTTCGAGCCCTCGGCCCTAAGAAGCCCCTACGAGGCCCCAAGAGGCCCCTAAGAGGCCCCAAGAGGCCCCCACGAGGCCCTCAGGAGGCCCCCAAGAGTCCCCCAAGCGGCCCCAGGAGGCCCCCCAAATGCCCCCCCGAGCGCCCCAGGAGTCCCCCAAGCGGCCCCAGGAACCCCCAAAGCGCCGCATTGACACCAGGCCCTCGGGCAAACGGCAGACATGAGACTGTATGGGCCGGCGGAATGAGCGAAGCGATTAAATAATGTCCACTATGCACTGCGCCGTGGCGGCTGCGCAAATGGTATCATGGTCATGCTCCCGCCCGCGATGGTGTGCTCATCCCTCGGAGTCGAATACTTTCTGGCCGTCGCCATCGCACGACATGAAGACACAGCAGTTGATGGTCAAATAAATGCGACCTCGGGGCGAGTTCCTCCCCACACAATCGGCGACTGCCGGTCGTACACTCTTTTCAGCCCTCTTATTGCATGAAGATCCAAAGCAATGCCAAGAGGAGAGGGACACGGCGGAAACAGACCAGAGGCAGAGAGGATCGGAGACGCTGGCAGCGTCGTGATATTCGCCTCTCGTAGACGCATGCACGCTGGGCGCACATCGCGATGAACTGCGTTGGATTCTGGCCTCCCGCGACCCGTTCAACCTAGAACGATCGAATCCTTCCAGAACCCGCCGAATATGAGCCAGAAGCAAAGATCTTTCAATGCTGGCTGAATCTGGGCCACGCGCGGCGTTCAACTGTGAACGTCTGGGCTCGGGTCGCCACCACGTCAGCGCAGCGCGAATCTGCCGTAGAGTGGGATCCGCCCGTTGCAGCTCGCTCCAAGATCCCGCCAACATCTTCTGACTGCGCTATGCTACCAGTGCCAGACGAGGCACACGCCGGGCGGGACGGCAAGGAAAGATGGACACCCCGCTGACGTCATTACAGGGCGCAAAAATAATTATCGAAACGATTTTTCCGGTAATGTAATGTTTTTTGCCCCTGCAGTATGTGCCCCCTGGGGGGGACCCCACAAATAAATCCAAAGGCCCTCGGATATCAACCCTGCAGGAGGCGCGCCTCGGCGGCGGCAGCTCTCCTGGCCCGCATTCGCTCGAATCGCCCCCCACAGCCCTCCCGGAGTCCATCGGGGATCTTCTGACCCGGGTCAATCCAGACCCGGGTCAGTCAGGCCTTGAAGAATCCTGCAAGATCCTGCGAGAGCCTGCACCCAAGCCGGGGTCAATGCGAGGGATCCTGCACGATCCTGCAGGATCCTGCGCCCAAGTCCGGGTCCATGCGACCCTGGCCCTGCAGGAGCCTGCATGATCCCGCGCTCTGGCTGACCCCCGTTTGCACTGACGCCCGCCTCTTGAGCTCCGAGTCCATCCTGCATGGCCCGCTTTAGCGTGACAACGACCCGGACATGCGACGTCCTGACTTTTTCAGGACGTCGCATGGGACTGGTTTCTCATCCTGAGTCGTTATTTGACGGTCCCGAGGCCCGGCGAGGGCCCCCCGAGGCCGAAATTAGTTAGCCAAAAACCTGCCGTCCATCTTTTCTTACGACGCGATCATGTCTGCGGAGAAGCCGCCAAAGGGGGCCCGCGAAAAGGACAAACGTACACGCCCTGAAGGGCCGGCGACGATGTCTCGACAGAGACGCGTCTCCGATGATTGTTCCGCGTGGTCACGCGGGCCTCCAACGGCCGTTAATAGGGACAATAATTTTGGCTCCCCCAGGACGCCCGTCACGAGGCGCAACTAACGAGAAATACTCCAAATCCCTTATTAATCGCCCCCCCCTCTAAAAGACCGGACCCCCCTCCAAATGCGACCTAATACTCCGGACCCCCCTCTTCGACAGGGCGCCTCAATGAACCAGACCCCCTAAGCTCCAATCCACAGAAAGCGCCCCAATAAACCAGACCCCCCCCATTACAAAAAGGGCGCCTTATAAAACCGGACCCGGGGGACAATGAATAAGGGATTTGGAATATCCTGGGTCCCGAAAAACTCAGAAAACCCGTCGGAAACAATCGAACACGACACAAGGCAAACGGCCCTCCTCCGATTGTGCCTCCGCCGATGTCTGCCCCAGAGACGGCAGGGCCGACTTGCTTGTACCGTGCTCAATAAACTGCTTCTGTGGAAGATGAAAGCGATTCACAAGCGGCTCCGAAGATATGGGGAAGAAAGGCTCCAGGATTGGAGTCGGAACTGGACGGACGCAACAAACAAACGGCGACGGAACGGATGACAAAAACGGGGCCAGAGTCGGCAGCAAAAACGGCGTACCAGAACCAGCAACAAACACGGCAGACGAGCTGCATCCTCTGCCTCATCCTTCCGATTCACCCTCACTTCTTCTCCCCCTCCCTCCTGGGGAAAGCGTCATGCACCGATACCGCGACCTACCGCTACCTACTCCCTGGACCTCTGGCGGGGAGACTTCTGACAAGAGTTCGGTCGGGCCTGTCCCCCTACAGGCGGACTTTCGACGAGAAATAAAAAATACCCCCAAATGATCAAACGTAGTATAAAAATCGTCCCCTGACGATTGTTGGATTATGTTTGAACATTCCTCCTGTAGAGGGACGGGCCCGACTTCAGACAAGATATTCGAGGCGGACGCAGCCATGGCGATGAGGGTCTCCTCCCGGGAGGCCCCAAGAAGTGGAAAACGAGGGAAGGGCAGCTGTATCGCTACTAGTTCCTCCGCCTCATCCTCCCTCCCTCCCTCCCTCGCTCCTCATCCCTCTGCCTGCCGTCGCCCTTAACACCATGCCCCCCTTTTCTTCCTCCTCCTTCCCTCCCTCCTCCTCCCTCCGCCTGCCATCGCCACTCACATCCTGTCGCCCCTTCCTCCTCCTCCTCCTCCTCCTCCTCCTCCTCCTCCCTCCCTCCCTCCCTCCCTCCCTCCCTCCCTCCCTTCCCTTCCCTCCCTCCCTCCCTCCCTCCCTCCCTCCCTCCCTCCCTCCCTCCCTCCCTCCCTCCCTCCTCCTCCCCTTGCCTGCCGTCGCCCTGAACACCCTGCCCCCTTCTGGCACGCCCGGAATTTGCACGGAGCAAACGGGTACGACGCTCAGCAACACATGCTGACAGCGGCCGCCGCGGAGCAGGCGGCATGCTGCCTCAAATTGACAACGTCCGCGGCGACACCGTCAGCGCGTCCTGCTCAACATGGGCAGAAACTGCTGTCGGTCTTCGCCACCATCTCTTAAACGGGGAAAAAACACAAACATAAACTGCGGTCGAGGGTTCGCGCGAATTTCTCGAGACCCCAACTGGCGGCGCCTCCAGCGCCGCCCTGGCGCCGCGCGCCAGAGAGGGGGGTCCAGCGCAGATCCAAGAAACTCGCGCGGACCGTCGAAAGCTTATGTTCGTGCAACTGTTCTTCCTCAATCCTTTCTGTGCCCGTCTTGATCCTCCAGGTCCTCGTTGGTGCAATGTGTTTTTCCTCGATCCTTTCCGTGCCCGTTTTGATCATCCAGGCCCTCCCTCGGCTGCACGCAGGAGTGGCCCTAGGCAGGAGTGAACTCTGGTGCGCGGCTCCGGGGGGCCGTGGGGAGGCCAACATCAGGCGCCCACGCCAATGCTGGGAGGACCCCTGTGGGTCCGCCCCCAAGGTCTCCCCGGAGAAGGGTCAACCTGAATCTGCGCTCCGTACAGTCGGACCTGGGCGAGAAGAACATCCCTCAAGAACATGAGACCCTCCGCCGGCCAAAATTACCAGAACCACTAAGGGCACCCTCGCCAGGATGCACAAAAGTATCAAGCACACGCGAACAGCATGAGTGTTCCGTCCACGAACCGACCTCGATCTTGCACCTCGGTCCAGCTGTAATCAGACCCCCCCGACGAGGGTCAATCTCGCCTCGTCGGCGTGCCGCGACGGGAATTGTGGCGCCTTCGCCGCGCGGTGGCCGCCCGCGAGTGGGGGCGTCGATTTGGGTTCGTCGGCGGGGGCAGCGCCCCCGGACTCGGGTACTGGGGACTCGGGTGGGCCTGACGCTGCCATCGTAAAAACGACGAGGCCCAACCTGAACTTTGACGGCGAGCTCCCGTTGCAAACATCTCACGAAAACTGGACCGTCCAAATCCAGGATTAAAACAGGGCTAGGATCGGGTTAACTCGCTTCAGAGCGTTCCGGAGCGCTCTCAGAGCGTTCCGGAACGCTCTGGAGCGGCCGCGGCGCCCAATACATCCTCCAAACCCGCCGATTCTCAGAGATTTCAAGTTATCCCGATCCGATTCTGTCCCGATCTTCGCGTCGTTTTAAGGATGCGACTCGCCCAAAAAAGCATCTGCAAGCCCGAGCTCCGGCTTCCTCGAGACTCACGTCTCCCCGCCGAGGGTGCCCCCCAGGATTCCTACTTAAGGAGTCCCCTGGCCGGCCTCCACAGAGCACCCCCCCCCCCACGAGGCCCAGAGGGCCCCGGAGGGGCCCCACGAATCGAGCGGGACGCTGGGGAACCCTCGGGCCAGGCGCGCCTCCATGAATGAATGCGGCCCAGGGACCCACGAGGACATCGGCACAGGCCCCCCGATTCCCGAAAATGCTTGTCCATCCTGTCTGGAGCTTCACCTCCCCCTCCACTTGCCATGTTTTCCCGCAGATCTTCGTGGGAATCGACTTGCCCTTCGTGTCTGTGTCTGTGTCTGTGTCTGTGTCTGTGTCTGCGTTTGTGTGTGTGCGTGTGTGTGTGTGTGCGTGTGTGTGTGTGTGTGTGCGTGTGTGTGTGCGTGTGTGTGTGTGTTCCCCCTGGCGCGGCGCAGGCGCAGCCGGCCCCCCCTCTCGGGCGGCGCGGGGGCCCCGGGATCCACAGCATGCTCCATGCCGTCCGGAGCCTCGCCTCCCCCCCAGACCCCCTCGAGTAGTGAAAAAGTCAAGACGGGAAATGGTTTGCCATTTTCGGAATCTGGGGGGCCTCGCCGGGCCTCGGGACTGTCAAGAGACGCCTCAAGATGAGAAACCGGTCCTGGGTAAGGGGTCGACGCTGTGACAAAATCATGACGGCGGGGTCTGGGCCCCCTCCCCTATCCCACAGTGTGCCACACGGCCCTGGAACGTCGGCGACTCCTCGTGTCTCTCCCTCTGTGTGTGCAGTCCTGCCCCTCCTGGCTGCAGCCCCCCCCCCCCCCGACTTACCCGGCATGCCCTCCCTTTCATTTCCCATGTGTTGCCGCATCTTTCTGGGAAGTCGACGATCTGTCGTGTCTCTCTCCCTCCCTCTCTCTCTGTACTTCTGCCCCTCCTTCACTGTGCGCCCCCCCCCCCCCGACTGACCAAGGAGACGCGGGGCTCGCGCAGCCGACGACCTCCCCCCCCCGTCGGGCGGCGCAGCAGGGGGTGGGGGGGGCGCGCCCTCCACACCTCCCTCAAGGAGGAGGGGACGAGACCCCCCGACCAGACCGAGAGGAGGGAGCGACCTGGGCCGGGCCAGCCACGGGCTTGTCCTCATGGGGGGGGGGTGACCACTCCGGGCTCGCGGAAGATCGAGGGCAGAGGATCGGGGAGGATCGAGGATCGGGGAGAATCGAGGATCGAGGTCCGATCGGGGGCGCGCAGGCATGGATGAGCGATCCAAGGATCTGGCGAGCGGCCGCCAAAGCCATGGATCGGGGGGAGGTGCCCTCCCCAAAATGCGGCCAGTGCCGCCTCGCTCGGCGGCGGGAAGCCGCCATCTCCCGTGGAAACGGGACCCGTCGCGAATCCAGGCACCCCTCGATCCATGTTTGCGATCGCCTGAGGATCGAGGAGGGCCGAGGATCGAGGATGATCGAGGACGCCGCCCCCCTCGGGCGGTGGTGGGCGCGTCCTCCAGCTGCTGGCGCAGCGCCTCGCCTCGGCGCCGCTCCTCGGCGAGCGCGCGCCGCAGCGCACCCTGCTGCTCCTGCGGGGGTGCGCTTCGCCGCGGGGACGTGGGGGGGGAGGGGGGGAGGGAGGAGGGAGGAGAAGGGAGGAGAAGTAGTCCAGTAGGGGGAGGAGGGAGGAACGTGGTCTAGTCCTCCTCCTCCTCCTCCTCCTCCTCCTCCTCCTCCTCCTCCTCCTCCTCCTCCTCCTCCTAGTCGCAGCCCGCGCGCGGGCGAGAACCGCAGCGGTTCGATCTTTCCCGCAAGGGGGCCGCCCGCACGAGGTCGAGCATCGCGTGTGCTCGGATTCCTCCTCTATGATGGCATGAACTGCCGAAGACCCCTAAGCAGAGGCGAGGAGGATAAGCAGCAGGAGGAGGAGGAGGAGGAGGAGGAGGAGGAGAGGCGCCAAGGCCCGAAGGCCGGGCAGGCAGCCCAGGACCCGCGGCCGCGCCCAAGCGCGGCGCCACCCGCGCCCGCGGCCCGCGGCTGCCCAGCCGCAGCCATAGTCGCGGGGAACCCCAACCCGCGCCCAGCGCCCAGCCTCTCGCCGAGGCCAGGCGGCACATCGAGGACATCGACGACAGGTACCAGAACCAAGCGGCCGAGGTCGCCTGCCAGAACCAGGCGGCCGAGATCGCCTGCCTGGCATAGGAGATCAAGAAGGGCAAGGGCAGCAGCAAGAGTGATATTACGACTGCACAAAGCCTCACATCTACTACGGCACCACCATTCTGCAATGGCATCACATGGAGATCGTCGCCACCGTTCATCAAGCAGGCAGAGACAGAAGTCGCAACCACGAGGGCAACAAGAATTGCTAGGTGGACGGCATGAAGGCAGATGGAAATGCAACACTTGCGGGCTGTCGAACCCATGGTCTTGTGATAGGTGTTCATGCTGGACAAAAGGGCAGGCGGGACAACGACAACAGACACCCAGAAGCAGCAGACGCAAGACAGACAAAGAAAAGGCCCCCCCCAAGCGCTCGGCCGAGTTGCAGAAGCTGATAGACGGGGTGCCCATAGCTACGCCAGAGGAAGCGAGATCGTCAAGGGACTACGAGGAACCCCCTACTGACCAGAGTGCTGCACGAGCATTTCGATACAGAATTTACGCCAAACAATCCCAGCTTGGTTTGGCCGCCCTGTCAGGCAGGAAAGCGCAGCTGGACGTCAAAGAGACGGAGTTCAAGATCGCGGTCATGAAGTACATCATCGACATTATGCGTCCAGCGGCGGCACGAGTGGAGGGACACAGGAAGCACCACGAGGCCCTGAAGGAGCAGTACAAGATGAAAGTCAAGCAGGCCAAGAAGATCAACGAGGAGCTGGACGAACTGCAGTACCAGATCGACAGGGCCCACGAAGCGTTGGTGGTGGCCATCAATGACAGGGACGGCGAGGAGGAGGAAGCAGAAGGTGAACTGGACGATGAACAAGAGCAAGACCTGGACGATGAAGTTATGCAAGTAGAACCAAGGCTGGGAAGGCCAAGACAGAATATACAAAGGCGCACATTCCCAGCGGGAGGAATGCCACCATCAAGCTCGGCACACGGACCCGAGGTAGCAGAGACACCGCACAAAGATGGGCAAGTAGAACAGATTCAGCAATTGATGCAAATGGTGGCACAACAGACAGTTGAGAATGGCAGGTTACAAGCACAGCTTCGAGACACACAAGCAGAGTCGCAAGCAACGAAGGCCTTCTATGAGCAACAGGCGGTATACCAGCAGTACTACATCAGCAAGATGACCGAGCAGCAGGAGAAGATGACGAGCCAGATTGCCGAGGAAGGCACAGCAGTGGAGGCGACAAGAACTCAACCGTCACCCTCAACGCCAACAGAGGATTACTTCGCTCCACAGGAGCGGCAGCAGGTCATCGACCACAAGAAGTGGCTCCAACAAAGTGCAGCAGCGGCGGCACAAGCACATGCAGCAGCAGCAGCAGTCGGGCAACTTCCGATCATCGACACAGGAGCAGCAGAAGTCGCAGCCCGACAAGCAGCATATCAAGCGCAACTACAAGAAGCCGCCCATGCTGCAGCCCAGCAGCAAGGTACGAAAGAAGAACATCAGGCAGAGCAACAAGCAGCCCAGCGTGCAGCACAACATGATAAATTCAACATCCCTGCAGCCCAGCAGCCAGTACCAGACGACAACCACGACCTAGAGGCCGACAAGTGGGATGAGGTGCAGGCCAAGCGAGTGGAAGAGCGCACATTGTATGAGGCTCAAGAGGTGACCGACCAGATGGTACGAAAGATAATCAAAGAGGAGGCGGAGGCAGTCATGGCAGAGAACAGTCAATGTACGCACCAACATGAACAACGGCAAGATCCAGCACCCCAGACGACAGTGGCGACACAGCCACCAGCGTCAGCATGGGAAGCAAGCCCCCTCCTCGGTGACAATGTGGACAAAGAGCAGTACGCGGCAGCCCTCAGGATGAGGAACCTGGACGAACCATCATCAATCCCGACGGAGCAGCCATCACCATGCTGCTGCACTCCTACTGAAGTGGCTTCACCAGCACAACCAGATAAGCAAGAAGAGATCAGCCCGACTGTACCGTTCACGCCGAGAGGCCTCAGCACCGAGCGAGAACAAGAAGCAAGCAAGAGCGGCAACCAGCAGGGCACCCAGCACTACAACATAGCGCATGGTGACAGCCCAGTACGCCCTGGTCAACGAGGATCTTCCCTACCCCGATTTGGTTCGTTTCGAAGTTACGAGGAAGATAGTGGCAGCAGCGGAGGACCGCAGCCCAGGCAGATCGCGAGGAGGTCCATGCAGCCCTTCGGCAGGACCGCCAACGCGGCAGCCACCAGGAGCAGCTCGGCCCGCTAAGCAGGTCCATTTTGGACCAACAGAATGCATGTACTTTAATTCAAGAACTGGATGCAGTATTTCGTATCTGCGTGAAGCACCACCCGCAGCTCTACGTCATGCCGAGAAGTCTCCAGACCACACGACGTCTCCATCGTCGGCATCAGCATCCACTACGAGACCTACGGACTCTATTGGACCAGAAGCTGATGTATTAGCCGCGCCTCACCCTCCTGAGTTTGGGTTTCCAGTTGAGGGTGCAAGATGTGCGCAGGTAAAGTTAGGATCCTTGTTTTCATCAAGTCGCAGCTCATCCCTGCCGCCGTCCTGGAACCCCCCATCGTGGCTCGACCAGGAAGAGAGGCGGCAGAAGCCCGAGATGTACCAATCCCTCGAGTATGCAGAGCAGCGCACACTGACAACATCAGCCAGCGTCGGGCAAACCACGCAGGCTCTCGATATCAAGCAGACCAAGCTCATCACAGACGCTCGAGCGAGGTATGCAAAGCAGGTAGAGGACATGACGCACCCGCAGGCACACAAAAAAGATATGCCACTGGCACTCACCTTGAAGTGCAAGGCTCCGATCCCCGAACCAATCACCAAGCGTCTGGAGGGCAAGAACAAGTGGATCATACTTCAGGAAATACCAGAAGGCGCGGAGGTCCACGAATTCGCCAAAGCAGCTGTTGCACTAACCAAGTTCACAGAGGTGGACCCCACGCACTACTTCATCTACACAGACGCCTCTGTGCCGAAGATCAAGGAAGCATCCAGCTGGGCTTTGGCGCTAGTATCACAGAGTGCAGAGAATTATCACTTTCATGGGCAGGTTGGACACATAGTCAAGGACAGTACCTCCTTGGACATTGACTACGCGCTCTTGGACTCCACGCAGGCAGAACTGGTAGCTATTATTTGGGCGCTAATGCTGGCGTACCAACTGGAAGACACCACGGACACCACCATCCTAACAGACTCGCAAGGAGCTATAGACATTATTACAAGAGCTACCTCAAAAGAAGATCCCATCTCAATTCTGGCAATAAGTACCTACGATTCAGTACGGAGAGCGAGACACATCACGATTGAGCACGTCAAAGGTCATGTTGGACAACCTTGGAATGAACTATGCGACTCTATTGCCAGATACCATACAAAGAAATACCTGGCAACGTCGGATGTGGTCATCGATCTCGAAGAGGATTGCCCGCTCCCTGTCGCCATTGTTGAGGAGCTCAAGATCACGAAGCACATGCACTGGAGTTTCCTTCGCGACACCAACTTTCAGGACGGAAGTGCATACCCCACAGCAAATGGAGATGGTATAAGCTTCCCATACCAACTCATGCAGGCGGAGAAAGAAGTGGTCATCCAAAAGAACTCGTCACCTGTCAAGCCAGCCCCTGCTGCTACTGAGCAAGTAGCCAAGGTCAGCCTCAAAGCCAAGACCACACTGAACCTGAACATTGCGACGTACAACGCTCAGCGGACCATCGTAGATGACAAGGAGCAGATGACCTTTGCGAACAGGGAGTGTAGAGGAGCAGTTACGAAATACATCAAGCATCAACGAGGTCAGCTAATGAGACTCCAAATGCGCGATGAAGGGGTACAGATCGCTGGAGTCCAGGAGACCACTTTCACCGAGGAATATACTATTGGAGATGGATACATGCAGTTCAACTCCAGACAGACCAACTCCAAGCAAGAGAAGCTTGGGGTATCACTGATGATCAGCCACGACGTGCCATATGCCACCAGCGAACAGAAAGAGCATTTCTTCGAGAAAAAACACGTGAGAATTGTCCATCGGTCGGAGAGGCTACTAATCGCATGCATCAGGACACCTATCGTACACGAGACGATCCACGTCTGGCATGTTCCACATCACGACAAAGGATCAAAGCAGGCAGAACGTGTCAAGTGGTGGAAGCAGCTTTGGCAACTCAGTCAGAAGTGGCCGCCAACCATTGTTCTCGCAGATGCCAATGCGACTTTCTCGAGCATACCCTCCCCAGGAATAGGGGGACTGGTACACAGACGCGAGGACACGGACGATGACAACGCCGAACGCATCAGGGAGTTTGCTAATATCTACAGAGTGCATTTACTGAATACCATCATTGAACACGAAGAGAAGGCCACATACACTTCAGACGGAGGTCGGCAGAAGCGCATAGACTATATCGCCACGAGCAAGCAGTA